CGCTTCACAGCCAGCTCCACGCTGAAACACAAGTACTCGCAGGTAGTGGGACTTTGCTAGGGCTCGCTCTCGCTCCCTTGCTTGCTTTTTCATGGCTAACTAGCTAGATAATCCAGGATTCACCTTGACAGTTGTCTGTATGCAGAGTCCAGACGCCCGCAGCCGGCACTCAGCGCACCGCTCAGGACAGCTCTCGCACCGCAACCGCAGCCTGTCCCACCGCAGACACCTCTCGACAGCTCGAGTGTCGTCTCCGGCGTCCTCTTGAGCTCTTCTTTCTTGATGTTCGTCGGCGTCGTCTGAGAATCACTGGAGCACCGCTGGGTCCATCCGCACCCGTCGCAGGCTCGAGAAGGGTGGCGGCGTCGGGGTTGCGGAAGCGCTGGCCGCGGGGGGCATGGCAGCGCTGCAGAGGGTGCTTCAGGTGGCACGGCTGGATGTGATGGCAGCGGAGGAACAGTTTGGCAGCGAGAAGACGGCACATTTGGGGGGAACTCTGGCATTGCAGTGGGCGTGAATGTGTGGTAGCAATGTTGCTGGGAGGTGAGGGCAGAAGGCCGGTTATATGGTAGACGGGCCTGTAAACAAGGGGCCTGGAGATGAAGATGGAGACGGTGGAGTGCTGTGAAGCTATAGCAGAGTAGATATAGTCCACAGCAGGTACATATAGTCAATTGGTAGATAGATATTGCCAATTGGTAGGTAGGTGGTGAAAGATACCCACTGTAGATGTAGTGTTGTAGAGTTGAGATATCAATTTACGGGAGCAGCCTACCAATTTCAACTTCCAACATACATCAAAGGAAAATCAGGCAATGACATAAAGAATTAATTAGTCTGGTCGAAGCAAAGAGCAAGAAGAGGTAAAGAAACAGCGGGGAATAGATAAAAAAAACGATCGTGAAGCCAGTTTGAATCTGCCTCCCCAGCCCAGCCCAGCCCAGCAGCGCTGCTCAAGATGGATATCCCATATGCCATTGCCATTGCCATACCATACCATGTCCAAAGCCTTCTTTTTCTTCTCCAGATACTGTTCCAGCCTCTCGCTTTGCCTTTTTTTTCTTTCTTTCCTGCCACCAAGGTATTTGCTGATGTTCACTGGTTTGACAGGCTCAAGAGGGCGTAGTAACAGTAACGGATATTGAATTCATTAGATAAAAGACAAGTACGGAGGAATACAAGAGGGGGAAAGGAAAAAGAAATACAAGAGGCCGGTTAGCTAGTCAAGTTAATAGAAGGGGGAGGGGATAAGGAGACAAGATAAAATGAAAAAAGTTAAGGGGGAATTTGAATGAATGTAAGTCAAGTAAGTGGCCTGGCATGGAGTCTCGACGGGAGAGTGCAAAAAAAAAAAAAAAAAAAAAAGAAAAAAAAAAAGCGCGAGGGGGATAGTAGCATTAATTTCGAGTAGGAGAGGTCAAGAGTGAGTGAGTGAGAGGATAGAAAGAGAAGATAAGAAACAATGTCTGGACTTGGGACTGGAGGGACATAGCATGGCAGAGAAGAAGAAGCATAGAAGGCGGAAGAGAGAGAGACGGAGTGAAAAGACAAAGGACAGTTCAACGGAGCGAGAATCCCTTTCGCTTTATCTTGTCTTCCAGCGGCCGTCCGCTCTCGAGACGGGCCTTCTTCTCCTCCAGCTCCTGGCGCTGTCGGTCGAGCTGCTCCTTCATCTCGCGATGTCGGGCAAACAGCTCCTCTTCGGACTGCTTCAGCTTGCTCTCCTTCTCCTGCACCTTTTGCTGGAAGACCATCTTCATCTCGGCCTCCATCTTGGCCAGCTTCTGCTCGTGCAGGGCGCGCTCCTCCTCCTGCTTCACGGCCGGGTTGACCTCCTTGAAGACGCTTGGGTCCTGTGTCACGCCCATCTGCGTCAGCTTGTCCGAGCGGTAGTTCTCGTACAGCGTGTTGTTGGTGTGCTCCTTGAGCTCCTCCATGTGTGTGCGGATCAGCATCTGGCGCAGCTTCACAAAGTCGCAATGCTCCTCGTTGTCGACCTCGATGACGCCCCAGGGGTAGCGGCGGCCACGCACTTTGCGGCCGTCAGCGCTGGTCACTTCAGAGTTGGCACCGACCACGGCAAAGGGGACCTTGGACATGATCTCCTTGTTCTCGGCAATGGTCTCCTCGTCGTCCAGCTCGTAGCGTGGGCCCTCGAAGATCTGGATTGAGTGGTGCTGGATATCGGCCAAGATCTATATCTTTTTGTTAGCAGCACAAACACATAAGACTATGTAAAGTGTATGCTTACTCTCTGCTTGAAGAGCGCAATCTCTTCGTCGGTCAGGGTGTCGGCCTTAGCAATGACTGGGATCAGGTTAACCTTGGTGTGCAGACGGCGCATAACCTCAATGTCCAATGGCTTCAGAGAGTGGCCGGTGGGCTGGATGAAGTAGACACAGGCGTGCACACGGTTGTCAACAATGTTCATGCGGTTGACCTTGTTCTCAGCGTCGAGGTAGGCATCAAACCGCTGCTCGATGTTCTCGACAATGGGACGCCACGAGTCGTCGTTGTTGACGAAGTCTCCGAATCCGGGGGTGTCGACGACGGTCAAACGCAGACGGACGCCGTTCTCCTCGATGTCTGCACTGATGGACTCGACAGAGACGGTCTTGGGGATGATGTCCAGGCTGGGGCCAGTACGTTCTCGTGGGGGATATAGGGATGTGTTGAAGAGTGTGTTGACCAGTGTCGATTTTCCCAGACCAGACTCACCTGCTCTTTGTCAATTCATCTGAACATATCAAAATGTGGAAACATACAAAAAAAAAGAGCCAAAGATA